ACCCTTTTAGGCTCAAGGCACCCCTTGGAAAATGCCAGCTCTTAGTTTTCACTCATTTTTTGACTCTGGAAAAATAATAGAGCAATTCTTCTGTTGCAAAGAACTCACAGTCCACAAGTCAAGTCAAATCAACTCTGAAGCTGCTGTGACTGCTGGGGCACCTTAGATGCTTAACAACCCCCCTAGGTCAGTTGAGTTGCTTTGAATCACTGGTGATTCTTCAGGCAGTGACCTGGTGGCATCCATCTCCTCTCCAGGTACGGATGGCCGTTAGCTCCCAGAGAGCTCATCTGCCCTTTGACAGATCTTGTTTTTAGTTCTGCTGGGTGTCCACACACCTTCCTCACCCAGGCTAACAGAGGTGGGGGCTCCCTGTTTAGTTGCTGACATGATACCATATAGCAGACCAAGAGAGACCTGGCCTGACAAGACCATAGCAGGCCAGAATGTTTTTAATACTATGGACTCCAAGTTGAAATTTCTGAGTTTCTCTTGTGAATCATGTCTGCACAGCTAGCAGTGCTAACATTGCGTGGAACCCTGAAGCACCACTGAAAGGCTCGCAAGGTGCCCCAAGGTGTTATGGCACCCTGGTTGAGAATCACTGCACCAGACACACTCCAGTCCACAACCTGGAATTGTACCTCAATTCCCAGGGAACATTTCTCTACTGTCTGAATATAACTGAAAATCACCAGCAAAAATTCCTTTGCCCCACCCCTCTGGGGTGGTCCAGGTAGCCCATCACAGCTTACTACTGCTACCATTGACTACTACCACCAGTCAGTCGTTTAAGCCAAGCGGTAAAGATTTCTGCTCTGGATCTAAGGATCTGTTGCAGGGCACTGGGATGTTGCTGCTTTAAGAGAGGCTCCTTACAGGTGTCAGAGTGGAGCTAATGAGGGACTCACCTGACCAGAAGAGGGTTCAGGCTGGAGGTATATAAGCCTAGAGCCTGTGGACAGCCTCCCTATTTATTATTATACCATCAAGGTGCCCTGTGGCAGAGCAGGTACGGTCGCGGATCCACCAGGGAGTGTCACAGCTATCCCTTTGGGCACGACTTAGCTTCAGGGTCTTTTACTGGTTACCCATGTAAAGGTGAATATAGTTCTACACGATGCAATCTGTCTGCCCAGAGTGTTCCTAACTTGCAAGTTAGGTTGAAAAAAAAAAAGGCAGTTTTAAAAATAAATAAATAAATACTGAAGATTGCAAAGTTTGTCGCTCAAAAATTAGGGGACATAAGATTAAGGTCCATACACATGATGATACAGCCCCTAAGTATATGATAAGATATTACAATATTTAATTTTAAATACTTGCCCAACTGAAACAAGACATCCTGAAATAAATAAGAGTTTTGTATGGGATGGGATGGGATGGACGGGGAAATATAATGTCCCCCCCATCTCCTGGAGCAGAGATTTTAAAATGGGCATCCCTCATGGAGAAGAAATCCAAGCAGCAACTTTGTGAACAGTGGGGTACACATCACGTTGAGCAACAAATACCAGCAGAGGAGACATCTCTGAGCAGGCAGCAATGTTTGAGTCAGCCTTGACATGGCATTCTCATTTCAGGCTGTAACTATTGTTCACATCTCAGTAACTTACTTTCTGTGAAAATTTGGTCTAGTTACTTAACATCTCAACCCTCTAGTTTCTTATCCAACGCTGTGGCCTGCTGAGATTTCAGAAAAGCACTAAATAAATGCAGTATAGTATTATTTTGACTTACGATCTTATAGACATTTTGTTTGAAAAGTCCAATCCTTAAAGATACATGAAACTACCACATATAATTAATACACCATACATATTAACTAACTGCTTAGATATATCAGTAGTTTGAATACTGCAAGTGTGTGTGTCTGGTCAGACACTCCTAAAAGCACAACTACATGAAGGATGTGTTGGGAGGGAGTTTCAACCTTTGATTATAATGGTAGGATTTTGTTTTTGTTTTTTTTTACTGACAAATACTTTGAATGCCTCACTTTAAAAGTGCCTAGCCCAAATAAAACCTTTATTTAGAAAATATTTTAAAAAAAGGTTAAAAAGACACTCTATAGATGTAGGCATCACTAACTAGAATTGTGTCAATACAGTTGCTAACTAGTGTGTTTGATGAAAAACCAGAGATTCAGGATATACTGTGCCTATATATTGATTTAAAAACTAACCTCTGACTACAACTTGCGATGGACATTTTGCCAAATACAAGCCACTCCTTAGTACAAGGTATCTTTAATTACATAGGTGTTGTTTGTAAAGAGTAAAATAATAATGACCCTAACAGTGCATGATCAGTGATCACCTTAGCCAAGATGTCAAGCTCAGATCTTCAGGGTAACTAGATAAATATGCCTAAAAAAAAAAAAATCAGTAAAAGAATGAGGCAAACACGAGGGGGGGAAATACACAGCCAGGTACCAGTGCCAACAGAACTGCTTTCCCCTGCAACCCAAGCAGGTTCAACACAGGCTTGAGAAGTGTCTGTGCCCACACGTGTGCCCACTGCATCACCCATTTTTCACTCCGGTTCCATGTTACCTCTGAGCCATTGCTAGATCACCTCTCTCACACCTCTGTTTCAGCACCACTACTTTGCTCCATGGTGATAGCAGAGCAACATGTTCGGCCATCCCAACCTCTACAGCACTGTGCCTAGTTTCCAAAAATTAAGATTTTAGTGGGCACTGGCACGTAAAACACCAATAAGATTTTTGCCCTCCATTCAACTGCAGCCCAGTCCCACAGAGGAAGATTAAGCAACGAGGCCCACAATTCAAGGGAGAAAGCCAGCAGGATACCTCCAGCCCTTGTCACTGAAAAGTGAAATGCCTTCACATTGCTCCCAACCCACAAGTGCTCAATCTTTATTTCCATACACTAGCGTGTTAAGATGCCACTGAATATCCCAAGAATTCCTACTGCAGAGAAAAGAGAGAGCCAATCACAGGCAGAAAAAGCCAAAGCATTCAAACCAAGCAAAAAATAAAAACTGGATGGGAAAAGACAACTTGAAGGAGTCAGGGAGGAGGATAGCACAACTAACTGCACAGGAGGAATGCTAACTAAAGTTCATTCAGCAAAAGAGATTTGGAAAATGCCAAAGATGCTGATCTGAATAATCGTCAGAATATTACAAATCCTGCAAATATACAGCCAGAAAAAATAAAGTACCATTTGTCCACACCACAACACTTGGATTTCATAAGACAAATTTGAAATTGAAAGGTTGTTTATAGGAAGACATCTGTTTCTGGAGCCATTGCCTATACTTCTCAGGATGGCCACTTTTTTGCTACTCCATTTACAAAACGCCTGCAGCTGAAGCGCTGCTACAGACAAATGGTAAGGATTTTATGCTGCAATTTATCAACCCTCATGGGCACAACCACTGTGAGAAAAAACAATCCTTCAGAATGACAGCTGAAACCTGCAACATTTCTCTGATAAGACAGATTCTCAGAAGGAGAAACAGTTTTGCCGTGACCAAGAGGCTGATCCCATTAGTTGTTTCAGGGAAAGGAGGATCACGTACACAATGGTACCAAGCAAGAAAATATCAAGACGTTGCTAGATAAAGGAAAACAGCTATCATAAATCCCCCTGCAAAACACAAAAGTGCCTTTTAATAGCATAAGCTGGGTCATGAGCCTACTCTATTTCCTGTAGGTGTAAGAAAAACCTATTTGCAGGTCTGGAGGACCAGAACAGTGATAGGTTTTTTTTTTCCTGGCTGAGGATACAAGAATGATCACAGCTTGCTGTGAAATTAACTTTTTGACTAGCCTTGTGTAGAGGCAGGTGCTAGGGGGAAAAGCACCAGCTACATCAATCAAAACAAGGGTTGGGAGGAATGGCAAAGTAGTCATTTGACCCCAAGGGGCACCTTTCCTCAACGTTCAACCTCCCTGCACCCCAACATTATCCTGCCAAAAACCTAAAATAAGAGCAAGGGTGCTTTCCACAGACAGAAGGCATGCACCAGTCCAACTCAAGGTATTCATTCACTTGTTGGCGACCTCCCTCTGGGAAGCTTGCTTGCGGTCTTGACACAGTGGTTCACCATGACTTGAAAAAGTTGGCATTGAGGGTGATGGAGCACATAGGGTACTGTGTCTTATTCAGAGGGGCTGCGCACACCTACTGCTATGGCAGGCTCCCACTGGCAACAGGCGCGGACCTCAGCTTTGTGCTGGGTGCTCTCTGTGCACACTTAACATGGGCTGCATTCAACCAGCTTTGCAGCTTGTGACCCTGCTTTCCCTGTGGCAGGTTCGGGTGTTAGGGCTGTGCTGTGTCAGGGTTGCTGGTAGTCTTGTGGAGAGTTTAGATGACAGATTTGTATAGGGATGCCCTGCCTGAGGCAGGGGTTGGACTGGATGCAAGCTCTGGGAGGTCTCTTCTAGCCTGACTTCTCTGATTCTACTACAGCAGCATTGCCTGCATAGTTTTAGGAACAGGTTAAATGAGGATTTGCCTGGGATGGTCTGGATAGGCAAGGTCCTGCCGCAGGCAAGGGGTTAGATGCAAGCTCCGGGGGTCCCTTCTAGCCTGACTTCTCTATGATCCTACAAAAGGGTTGCCAGTGTAGTTTTAGCAAGAGGCTTGCCAAGGATTTCCTGGGATGGTTTGGATGGAGCTGATCCTGCCTTGGGCAGGGGGCTGCACTGGACGCCAGCTCGCAGCCCCACTTCTCCACCACCCGGGGGGCTGTGACAGGGCTGCCCCTGTAGTTTTAGTGACAGGTTGGACAACGATTTCCTGGGGAAGGGGGTCGAGGTCCCTGGCAGCCCTGCTTCTCTGTGGGGCGGGTGCAGTCCTATGCCAGGCGAAGACGTGGCCGAGGGACGGTCCTGCTTTGGGCGGTGGTGTCCCCGTCCCCAGGGGCTCGGCCGGGGGGGCGGCGTTGGGCGGACAGGCACGGGCTGGGGGCGGGGAGGGGCCCGGGGCCCGCGGGACCCCCCGCCCCCCGCGCCCCTCACTCACAGTGGCACCAGCCGAGATGGCAGCA